AAAAAAAAAAAAAAACACGTGCCGCGTGGCACGTCAACGTTAGAGTACGATGAGGAGGAGGAGGAGGAGGAGGAGGGGGAGAAGGAGAACTGCCTGAACAAAAAGCGTGCCTCGTCGCACTTTAACGTTAGAGGAGGATGAGGAGGAGGAGGAGGAGGAAGAAGATGAAGAGGAGGAGGGGGAGGAAGAGGGGGAGGAGGAGGAGGACAAAGGTAGGGCGGCGGAGGAGGACACGACAGAAGATGTGGAGGGCGAGGAGGAGTAGGATAAACTTCCGATAAAGGTGTGGCGGAGGAGGAGGAGGAGGAGGAGGGAGATATGGATGAAGCAGATGAGGAGGAAGAGGAGGAGGAGAAGGAAGAAGAGGAGGAGGAGGAGGAGGAGGAGGAGAAGTAGCTGCTTAGGCAAAAACAAAAAATAAAAGTGCCACGTGGCATGTTCAGGTTAGAGGAGGAGGAGGAAGGAGGAGGAGGAGGAGGAGGACGACGACGACGACGACGACGGGCACGAGGACGATATGAGGAGAGAAGTGGAGGATTAGGAGGATACATGGAGGGAGAGAGAGAGAGAGAGAGAGAGAGAGAGAGAGAGAGAGAGAGAGAGAGAGAGAGCTGGTGGTGCCCACAGCCATGGTTACTCGCTGCCTCCTGCCGCGACCACCCGCCACTGACTGCTGCCGCAGTCGCTGCCGCTGCCTCCGAAGGCCGTCTCCTCCCGCTGCCTCCTGCCCTAGCTTTCTCGACCCTCCCTCCTCCGTCCTCCCTCCTCTTTCCTCCCTCTTCCCTCCTCGTCGTCGTCCTCCCTGGTCCTTCCTTCCTCCTTTGTCGACCCTAGTCTTCCTTCCAATGATGTCCCTCGTCCGTCCTTCGTCGTCCTCGTCGTCGTTCGTCGTCGTCTCCCCTCGTCGTTGTCGTCCCTTCTTCCCTTGTCGTCGTCCTCCCTCCTTCCCAGAAGAAGTGGCCCTCCCCCCGTCGTCCTCCTCGTCGGCTCCTCCCTCCCTCGTCGTCGTCGGTCGGCCGTCACGAACCTGCACACGAATGGGCAGCGCCGACTTCGAAACAGGCCCCGCCCGTGGCCCGAAGTGTTTGTTTTTTGGGGGGAAGGCCTGCAGAATTCGAATTCGAATTCTGCAGACCTTTCCCCCCAAAAAAAAACTTCGGGCCGCGGGCGGGGCCGGTTTCGAAGCCGGCGCGGCCTCTTTTTCAATTTTGGGAGGCCTAGGGGGCACCGTACTCAAACCCCACCCCCCGTTTTTTTATTTTTTTGCGACCCTATTTATTTGGGTGCGCTGCACCGGGTGCGGGGCGCAGTGCGGGGCGCTGCGTGCGCAACTCGTGCGCTGAGGCGCGCACCGCGGTGCGCCGCAAGTATGGAATAACATGATTCCCATGCTGCTATGTGGTTGAGTCTTAGGTGTACATGGCTATTAGCCTGATGGGGGCACTCCTCAATGGCGACTGCTCAGCCACGAGCTCCAATCCCGTTAATTTTTTCATACAAGTGGATGCGCCGTAGCCACGCTGCGGCAGAGGAGAGGGACGAACAG